ATTATTATTATTAGGTTGCTTTAATAGAAATATAGTCTTCAAATCTTGTGAAGTACTAGTTCATGTCTATTTGGTACTGGTTAGGTCTCATCTTGTGTTCTGCGTCCTGTGTAGACCAAGTAGAACAAGTTCAGAGGAATGCATTAAGGATGATCAGGGCTCTGTGAAGAAAGACTGTAATCAAGCTCTGTGAAGAAAGACTGAAATATCTGGGCATGTTTATCCTTGTGAAAAGAAAACTGAGGGGAAAGATGATAGCACTGTTCATATTCTTGAAATTTTATCATATAAAGGAACAGAATCTGTTCTCCATCATCCCAAAATGCAGGACATGTAATAATGGGCTCAAAGAAAACTAGGTTTCAGTTGAATATCAGGAAAAACATCCTGTTAGAGCAGTATAACAATGGAACCAATTACCTCAGGAGGTGTTGAGTACTTCAGTGCCGTAGGCATTCAAGAGAAAATTAGACAACCATCTTTCATATCTAGTTTGATTTGGATTTCTGCATTGAGCAGGAGGATGGACATGATGGCCTCATATAGTTACTCTTATTCTATGATTTTATGAATTAGTCATTGCAAGTTCGATCTATGCATGGACATCAGTAAAATTTGATAGAGAAAGAGCATTACTTTGAAAGCATGAACAGGGAGACAGTTGTTATTCAATTTTCCCTGTTGCTTTGTGCACATGAAGGAGGTCAGTCTACTGCATGGGGACCTTCTCAATGTGACTTGAAACCTAACTTTTAATAATAGTCCCAATTGTGGGGAGAGAGACTCTACGTGATCACCAACTATATCAGACCTGGGCAAACTGCGGCCCGAGGGCCACATACGGCCCGTGAGCCACTCCTGTCTGGCCTGCCGACAGTTTTGAACATCAAAGCCATTTATAGCTTTTTGTCTAAAGTTGATCAGTTGCTTATCTTTAACATACCGCAAAAAAAACCTCTTTAGTATTTGTGAAGATTAACAATTTTAAAATAAAAACAATCATAACCTCACTGTTTCATTTTATTTTTAAGTAAAGTTGGTTCGGCCCCCAAACAGGTCAGATTTTTCATGTGGCCCCCCTATAGAAATTAATTGCCCACCCCTGAACTATATCAACAGAGGGGGGGGGGACAGGACTAGGAGTGTTTCTTTGATCATGAGCACTGTGAAATCATTGTTACTTGGTCTTTATTAAGGTGGAGAGCAGAGTATGGTTGGGTGCCTGCTTCTACTCATCTCAATAGTCTGTTAGTTAACCCCACGAGACCCCCGCTGCTTGCCGTCCTCACCCGGATGCAAGTTCCCATCACTGGGCTGGTGCAGAGTGCAGCCCATGACGAAGGTCCCAGCCATCTGATGCCCTATAAAGAGGACCAGTAATGCTGGGTTGTTGCAGCCTCCTGAGCTCATCCTGCCTCCCGTGCTCCTTCTGCCACCTCGTCTGCCAGCACCTCCTCTGCCTCACAGCGAGGCTGAGGTGCCCATTAGATCTCAATTTCCAAGAGGTCACTGGAGGTTGTGGGCTGAAGAGAAGCACACGTTCCCTGTGTCCTCGCCTTTGAGCAGGCCAGAATGGTTCCCCAATTCAGGGGTTCTGGGCCTCCAACGGCTGGTTTTCTCCAAGGGTACAGAAGATGGGCACCCGTTGTTTTCTAGCCTCTGCCCACTCCTTCAGAGGGTGACAAGTCCAAGCCGGAGTCTCCCCTTCCTCCTCTAGGTCTAGGTCCTGCCAACCCAACCCAGTCTGAGCCCAAACCCACACCATTCAAGCTATACACCCACAAAGTGGGTCCCCTCCAGGAAAGTGCCCTTTCACCGCTGGCTTGGGGAAACCCAATCTTCACTAAACTTGGAGGGGGTCATAACCAGGGGGCAACCCCCCCCAAAAAAACCCAAGCCTTCTCCAGACAGGAGCCTTGGGTGTTGCCTCTCCAGTTGTTGGTAGAGGGTGGTGGAGGACAGATGCCTGGGGTCTGATCCCCTCCGGACCACCACAAGGCATTGCAGCGTGCCAGCCGTGGGTTATCATTGACTGTTGTGAAATGATCCCACAGGGCCCTTCTGCCCTGTTTGGCATTACGACGTCCCACTGCCTGCTGCTGGCCTGGTGCCAGTGGTGCTGGTCTGGGAGGATGGAATCCCACTGCCTGCTGCTGGCCTGGGAAGATTGTGTGCCAGTGGTGCTGGTCTGGGAGGATGGAGGAGATGGCACTGGGGACAGAGGTGGGAGTGTTGGGGAAAGCTGCCCTGCCGTTACTGGTTCCAAGGACTGGGAGGTTTCTGGATCCTGTGGAACCAGTAACTCCTCAGAAAATAGGAGTGGCAGTTCTTTGGGCACCAGAGGAAGCTCTGCTTCCATGCCCGCCTGTAAGGAACGGTGCTAGCGACGGATGTAGCCACCCTGTTAAGAGACCCCCACGGCCTTTCATTTCCACCTGTTCTCTATGTACCCGGCTGCCTCCTAAGCCACACTTCCAATAAAGTGGAAGGGAAGGTAAAACTAAGTGGGGTAACATAGGAGATGGTGTAATAATACATTTTATTTTTTAAAGGAGAAACAGAATGGTGAGGAAGGAACTGAAGGTGTTTTTTTAAAACATTTTTTTAAAAAAACGAGTAATGGGGGATAAAGGAGCAGGAAAAATAACGATATGCCCCAAAATAACTAAATAGAAAGTCCCCAACACTGACACACACATGAACTTTGAAATAAATGAATGGTAAAATATATACACATACACCTAGAGAACACCCACTCTACTCTAACCCTAAAAATATAACTAGCAAATAACTAAATAGACAGTCCCCAACACAGACACACATGAACTTTGAAATAAACGAAGGGTAAAATACACACACCTAGCGAACACCCGCTCTACTCTAACCCTAAAAATATAACTAGCCTCTGAACTAAAATGTACCCAGCTAAAGAAAGCTCTTCCCAAATTCCCAATATTTCAAATAATAATTATAATAGTGAAATAAATAAATGTTATTTTAAATGCTTTGCTGCCACACTGAAAAACCGCTAGCTACCTAAAGCACACAGAAAGCACACCAACAGCCCACACAAAGCCTCAGAGCAGGAGTGCAAAATGGCTGCAGAAAAATGCTTTATAAAGCCTATTAGCAAGGAACGCCCCCCCCCACAGCCCTTTCAGCAACTTTACTGGCTGCCTGCCCTGCCAATCCAGGAAGTCTCTCTAAGTCCCTGCCAGGCCTGGCCAGAGCTTCTGATTGGCAGCAGCAGGATGCAGTTGAAATCAAGGAATCAACAATAGGCAAAACTTGGTCGCTTTGTGTTCATCAAGATCTCTGTATTGAACAAATACAGAGTGACAAATGTGCAACAAACTGGTGGTTTTTGACAAATACTGTCCTGCTATTCCGGGTTGTGTTTTTTTTAAATTATTGTTCCCATCTCTAGTTTTGACTGGTGACAAGAGAGGGGAAAATGTACACGTGCTCAGAAGCTCTTTGAATTAAAAGGAGGGACCCTTTGCAAGGCCCTGGGGAATGATGCCTGTCGATGAAGCTCGATGAGCTGCTAATGAAAAAAATGATTGAAAAGATCCTCTGCTGTCCTTCATTTGCAAGTCGAGAAGGCTGTAAAGCAGTTTAACTCTTGCTTGTGCTTCCCTATAACATCTTGGCCTGGCAAAGTGGGACGGGCTGTATCTTTCATCCTCAACAGAGCCTGGAAAGTCATCATCCCCCATGACGACTGGGGGATTCTGGAAACTGTGATCCGAAAAAGCTCTACATATATCGTAATCAATAGGCAGGAGGCTTGACTGGACCCTGTGTGCCACACCCCTTAGGCAGATAGATGTTCAGGCCTTATGTTTCTAAGCCTGGCTCACGGGGGCCCCTATGGCCAGCTACGAGATGCCCAAATGTCCTGCTGGACTCTTGGGGACCCAACACAGCGTCCTCAGTTCAGGGCATTGGCTCCATTGGAACACCGCTCTTGTATCTGATGCGGTGTGGCGGGACAGATCTCAGCCCCAAGGGGCTTACAATCTACAAATACAGTGGACCCTCGACTTAACAGACGGCTCCACTTACAGACTTTTCGAGTTACAGACTTCTCTGGCCGCAAAACTTAGGTTCGACTTGCAGAGAATCGACCTACAGACAACAACCAAAATGGAACAAAAACGGCCGGTTACAGATTACAGTAATCGGTTTTCAATGCATTGTAGGTCAATAGAGCCTCGACCTGCAAATTTTTCAACCTGCAGCCACTGTTCCAATATGGATTAATTCCGTAAGTCAAGGGTCCACTGTACAGTCAAGGAAGACATAAGAAGGGGAAGGAAACAGGAACTGAGTGAACCGAGGGAGAATGTACCGTCACTTGGACTCCTTTCCCATGGCCTTGTGCTGCATAGACAAGGCAGGAAGGCTCCACTCTGTCCAGGGTTTTTACATTGCTTATGTTTCTACCTGGCAGGTGAAGGAAGATCCTGCGGAACCAGGGCAGCCAGCGCTGACATCGCCCACCAATGACTGGCATCTGGCCAACCCGGAGAAGGAATCCATCACCATCACACTGCATGGCGCAAACAACTTGCCCTCGACCAACAAGGGCAACGTTCCCATCCCGTATGTCATCATGTGAGTGTCTTCTCCCTCTTTGTGCCTCTTTCTTTCACGGTTTTCCAAAGCGCAAGGCCCCAGGTATTTCTAAAGGACCATTGCACCATTGACAAATTAGATGTTGTTATATTTCTCCAAATTCTGTCCTCCGGAACATTTTTTTCCCCTTTGCTTGTTTTGCATTGGGTCGCAAGACTTGATGGAAGATATTGGATGTGGATGTGAAAACGTTTGCCTCTTTTGGTGTTTTATACTACATTTCTCTTAATGCTTGCACTTTTGCGCACTGTTTCCAAATTAAAAGGAGTCTGTTGGTGCTATCATTTGCCAAACGGATACTTTCATATAATTATGTGAAGAATGCAATAATCTGCCCTGGGCACTTACTTCCCAATGAATAGAATAGAATAGGCATCCTTCAGTCTCGAGAGATTATGGTATCGTGCTCTGCATGGAGGACCTGGAACAGCGTCTAGTGTGGCTGAGAAGACCAATTCGAGAGTGACAATCCCTTCCACACTGAGGACAAATACAATCTGTACCCCGTCTAGCTCCCTGATTTTGCTGTTTTTGGGGCATCCTCTTTGCCTCGGCCTGCTGGACAAGGGTCTCTTCAAATTGGGAGAGGCCGTAATTCACCGCCTGCCTCCAGGCTGAATGCTCAGATGTCAGGGTTTCCCCTCTGTTGAGATCCGTTTCTAAGGCCTTCAGATCCTGCTTGCAGATATCCTTGTATCGCAGCTGTGGTCTCCCTCTGGGACGATTTCCCTGCACTAATTCTCCATACAGGAGATCTTTTGGAATCCGACCATCAGCCATTCTTAAAGCATGCCCAAGCCAACGTAGACGTCACTGTTTCAGTAATGTATACATGCTAAAAATTCCAGCTCGATCTAGGACTACTCTAGTTGGGACTTTGTCCTGCCAGGTGATACCAAAAATGTGTCGGAGACAATGCATATGGAATGTATTCAGCTTTCTCAAGCACTTTTTGCCATAGCCACCCACCCATTTGATGAATCTGTAATCAAGCACACATGCATATGTAAACACACACACTTTCTTTAAAAACAATAAAAAACCAAAATCATTTTGGTTTAAATCAATTTAGGCAGATTCCTTTTCCTCACCTCCATCATCAGCTTATTGTGAGAATGAAAATGGGGACAGAGGAGGTGTAGGGCTGTAGTGGAGCCAGGGCTTGAGGGGTTGATGTTTTTAGACTTCTCGAGTCTCGGGCACTGTGATGTTATCCTTCTTCCCAGGCTACCCTGTTGCCTCTAAACTTAGTTGCAATTGTCACAATACCTGGGAAAGAAATGGATTTTCCCAGCAATAAGATACTGTCACAAGCTACCACTGCTGTAATTGATAATGTAGGAAAGTATTAAGAGGGACTTGGTGTTGAATGGGCAATTAAAAGCCATTTGTTCTACAAAACAGTTGTGTCTCATTCGCTTGATGTGGACTCATGATCTTGAATTTTGGGGCATTTTTTGTGGAGAGGGTGCTGGCTGTGGGTACTGGCATGCATCTGAATGCCAAGGTGTTTAACTGTACCACCGAGGATATGCATTGGCTGTAAGACATGGCACACATGTACTTAATAAAGAATTAGAAACAAGCTGTTGCCTCTGGTCCTGTGTGAGTGCCATTGCTTACATGGCGCCCTCTGCAGGGATTTTATTTTGAATGTTTTCCTTTAAGGTGCTGCAACTATCTAGGGCAATGGTCCCCAACCTTTTTGCCTCTACTCGTTTAGCGTATGAGTGGGGTGTCCATGGGAGGGGCCTGTGGGAGGGGCCATGGGAGGGGCTGCGCATGCATGGGAGGGGCTGTGGGAGGGGCCATGCATGCATGGGAGGGTCTGTGGGAGGGGCTGTGTGTGCATGGGAGGGGCTGTGCATGTATGGGAGGGGCATGCATGTGTCTGCATTTGCAGGGGGCCCAGGACATTTGTCTCCACAGTCCAGTCTCGACAAGGCCACCGGTCCATGGACTGGGGATTGGGGACCCCTGATCTAGGGGATGGGACTCAGCACTTCAAACCCAGAGTTATTCCCCCTTCCCTGCAACATTGGTATCATCAGCCTCCACTGTTAACCCTCCCCCCCCAACACAAATAAGGTTTAACTTGGTTTGCATAATGGAATGGAGTATAGCACAGAAGGACGTGGCTGACTGGCTGGCACAATATTGCAAGTACTCTGTAAGGCAATGTTTTGATGTAGTTTCTACTCTAATTAAATGAAGCAGCAGAGAGAGACCAGTGATATAGACTCTTGGTTTTGCTCTTTGGCTGAGTGAGCTGAGGCAGAGGGTGTAAGGGATAGTGCGCTTGCTGGCGTGCCATCTTGTGTGCACTGGTGGTGGTGGTGGCAGCAGAAGAAGAATGGCTGCTTTTCCTCCTCCTCCTCCTTCTGGGGTGGGAGGGCTTTCTGCTGGTAGGGCCGCTGGCACATTTGTGTGGGAGCCACGTCTGCAGAGACACCAGTGCCCGCTTCAGCCACAGAGTAGAAGCAAATTCTTGGTGACCACCTAGACCCCACAGGATGCTGGCCTAGACATATCTATGCCTGTCTCTACAACTGGACCCACATGAACAAAGCCCTACATTCCACCACGAAGCAGCACTCCTTCATTGGCGTCTTGGACATCTTGGGCTTGAAACCTTTGAGATCAACAGTTCTGAACAATTTTGTATCAACTATGCCAATGGGAAGTTGGAGCAACAGTTCAATATGCATGTCTTCCAGCTAGACCAGGAAGAATATATGAGAGAACAAATTTATTAGACCTTGATTGACTTCTATGACAATCAGCCCTACTTTAACCTCATAGAGGTCAAACTGGGTACTGTATTTTGGCCTTGCTGGATGAAGAATGTAAGGTAGAATACTGGTGTGAATGATTTTTGGAAAAAAACAAAGACACTGTCTATGAAGAGCAGACCAATGTTGAGAAATCAACTAAGCTAAAGATGCTGCCTGAGCTGTTCCAGGATGAGAAACATTCCAGTTCTACCTTGACACCCTCCAATCAAACCCCTGTCAAGCTAGCCAAAGTCTAAAGTGGTCCATACCAGCAAGGAGCATAAGAAGATGGTAGTGCATCAGTTCAGAAATTCTTTTCATCTCTGGATGGAGATGCTGAATGGCACGACTCCACATTATGTCTGGTCTATAAACCAGAGATGGTTGGCTCACAGGTGGTACTGTAGGACTCTGAAGGTGATTGTCTATCTGCAATGCTGCTGCCAGTGCACGATAGCTAAGAGACTGAAGCAGAAAAGACAGAAGAACATTGTGAAGATATCATAAAGGAATAGTGGGCTAGTTTGAAGGTCCCTAGAGACGTGGCTGAGGAGGAGTGTAGGAAGAAGAAAGCATGCAAATCTCCCTATTGGGGTGAGACAGAAGAAAGGGAAAGAAGGGGCTGATCAAACAGGTGGTCAAGCAGATCTTCTACATCATTGGGACCATGACCCTTAACAACCTGTGTCTGCGGAAGGACATGTGCTCCTGGAGCAAAGAGATGCAGTTCAGGTACCATGTGGGTCAGCTGGAGGAATAGCTTTGTGACAAGAACCTGGGGAACAGCCGAGCCAAGGAGCCCCTCATCCAGGCTGTCCAGTTGCTCCAGGTGAAGAAGAGCAACGACAACACAGAAGCCACTGGCTCCATGTGCAACACCTTGCCCACCTCCCAGATCGTTAAAGTTTTGAAGTTGTATACTCCAGTGAATGACTTTGGGGAACGAGGGCCTTTGTCTTTTATCCAGACCATACACTTGTGTCTGTGAGACAGGAAGGACTCGCCTCAGCTTCTGATGGATGCTAAACATATCTTCCCCGTGACTTTCCTTTTCAACCCCTTGTCTCTTACATTAGAAACCATCCAGATTCCAGGCAGCCTGGGTCTTGGATTCATCACTTGTGTCTAAACCATGGCTGCCGTTCGCTACCAATCATGACTTTGCTGCCTATAATCTATCGTAGTGATAACAAACACACTGAAAAGCTATGAGGGGGTGAGCAGGTTTGGACTTAACTGAAAAATGTGGCATAATTCCCATATCAGGAGTTGATCAGAAGGTTATCAGCTCTTCTGTATTCATTTGTTGCTTTTGGGGGCTGGAGGAAATACATTATGCCAGAGAACCTAGAGGATAGGTGGATGCTCCGGCATTTTAAACCTAGCATGTGATAAACAGAATAAATCTGTGCCTTGATGCCTGTCTTTTTTTTCCCCCTCTCCCTGCCTTGTGTATAATAGATGCATCCTGGGACTCAATTAAAGCCCAGCAACTTTGGCCTGGCTGATTAATTGAAAGAGTATCATTTGTTTTGTGATCATGCAGGGGACGCAGGTCTGAATTCTGAGCAGCTCATTAATGAAGGGTGGTGGCTCCATGGCATGTAGACTCTCTCTGAAAGCATCAGGAGACGCAGAGGAGCTCAACACTTTGCCTCTGTGCAAACAAGGTTGAACGCTCTTCTGTTCTCTTCGAAGAATGGAAAGCTGAGCACGTGGATGCGATCAAGGATTAGTGTAGTCAGAAGCCAATAAGTGCCCAAATGTTAGTAGGAAGCCCAATGTTCTGAGCCTCCTGGACTTGCTCCTCCTGTTCATCATGGCAGTGTGCTTGTTTGCCCAGCCCGGACAATAGTAATGGTGAGAAGTAAGACCAAGAGATACGTCTGTTGGGTTACTCTTTGGTTCTCTCTGCTTCCTGGAGGGAGCAAAGAGGAGAAAGGGAGGATGCACAGCTAAGAACAATGCTGGTGACAAGATAAGACTCGTTGAAGGAAAGGAGCTCATTCGGACTCTCCAAAGGGCTCCGTGTGTGGCTGTCCAGATGGTTGGTATTGGATTACAACTCACAGCAATCTGTGCTAGGGCTGATGGGAGCTGCAGTCGGACATTCTCTTGAAAGTGTTTGGAAACTTCAGTGGGTCCAAAATACAGCTGCCAGATTCTTAACTGGGGCCAGTTACTGGGATCACATAACCACCCCCA